TATATCCTGAAGCATACTTACAGAAGAAGCAGCTGCCTCCTTGCTACCCCCATATAACATGCCAGCAAATATTCCAATGACAGTTGCCGTACCCCAGTTGACTGTTCCAGCCATCTTTCTAGTTTCCTTTCAAGAGGGGCAAAAAAAAAATAGAAAAGAGTTATTCTACTAATACACAATTTTGTCTCCCTTGTCATCATCAACCTGCAGTGTCATTCGACGCTACAATCATTGTATATTTCACAGTATCAATACAGTTAGTACAAAACTACAGCAAAATCATGTTATGACTTGTCTTAAACAGGTTTTTCTACCGGTACAACAACGTATTGCACTATAAAACGAATATTTAGGCCCTCTCCCCCTCCCTCCAAAACCACCCCAAAAAAACACACACACACACATACACACGGGGTAGCTGCTACTTCATCAAGTCCAAAACTTGGGAAATTAGAATTTGTTTCATCACTTTGCCAATGCTTAATACTAATCCACTAATCATGGCTATAATTCTCAGTCCAATACTACTTTTTCAATTCTAAAATTACATACATCGGTTTTATACTCGTTAGATCATATTTTAAATATAAAGAGGATTCTCAATATGCTTGTGACAGGGTTTTTCGTTCTTTTTCCTTTTCTTTTCCCTTTCTCAGACACTAAGAAAATCAAAATGAGATGCACGAGAATCATACTCTCTCCTTAACTACTCCATCCGCAAAAGAATATACAGTAATTACCAACTAGCAAAAATATTACTAAAATTGAACCACAGTCGAAATAACAATTTCCTTTACGATTAATTGCATCCAAACCTGATCATTTCCGCACAAAATCCCAACTTCTTCTATTCACTATAGCGTATACGAGTTGGGAATGAAGGAAAAAGTTCCACAAAAATTCAACGGTAAATGGAAATGACGATAAAAAAAACTACACAAATACCCAGAAAATGGAATGGAAAAATAAAAAATTGAGTGGCAAATGCTTACTTTTGAAGCAGTTTCCTGTGGTGGTTTTTCAGGGGTGTCCATAATGATGAAACCCTAATATCTCAATCAATTTGTTGGGAGGTGGGGAGAGCTGTGCAGGTTCTTCAGCGACCGATTGAGGCGACGGCCGGTGGACTAACGTCTGAATTTCCAAGCGTCGCCGGTTTGAAGGAGGAGGGGCAAGTGGCTCCGCCTCTAGACTGTAGGCAGTAGTAGTTTCGAGTGTGTGGAAAACGGTAACGGGTCGGTTGGAACCAGGCTCCACCCGAGCTAAATCGGGTAATAATTAGATCCATCGGTTAGCTACCGGGTAATCCTAAAAGGTATAAAAAGGGGAGTTGGCTTATGAATATGAGCAGCAGTAATGGTAATGGTCCCCTATGGGCACCATGACTAGGTGGCTAAATTTGGAATTTCACCTTAACATGTTAGTATTGTACAGATTGAGTTGAGTTAGTGGAACTAGGGCTGCAAACGAGTCGAGTCGAGTCGAGTTTTGAGCTAATCGAGCCGAGCCTAAACTAAATTTTACCAAGCTCGAGCTCGACGAGCCGGCAAATTTCAAGCTCGAGCTCGACTCAAATCAAGTCGAGCCGAGCTCGAGCTCAAAAAAAAATAAAAAATAATTATTTTATTTTAAAAAAATAAATAAAATAATATTTTTTTCTTAATAAATAATAAAATATTAAGGATATATACGTAATTTTACTATGAAAATAAAAAATAAAAAATATATATAATATACATATTTTTATTATTTAATAAAAATAATATATATATATATATATATATATATATATATACCCAAACTCGTGAGCCGGCTCGCGAGCTAACGAGCTTAATATTCTGAGCTCGAGCTCGAGCTCGAGTTTGACTCGAGCTCGACTCGAGCCGCTCGCGAGCGGTTCGATTCGTTTGCAGCCCTAAGTGAAACATTGCTCTTGTTGCCTTACTACGTGGAAGCAATTGGAGGCTGGTGAAGTTGCGTATCTGTCTAAAATGCTCCAAATGCAAATTTAGTGTTTTTTGTCGTGGCAATCTCTTCTTCCCACCTATGTTTAAAACCATGTAGCCCACCTATGTTTTGCATAGAAGTATCAAAATAGGTGTTTTGGGCGGATTTGGATTGGTTAAAATGAGTAATGAGTATAAATAAGTCAATCCATTAATTAGATGGATATAAATGGATATGTTAAAAAATGAATTAGGTAACCCAATTACCCATTTATAATCCATTTATTTTAATTTTTGTAAACTCATTTAAATTCATTTTTGCAAACTAACTTATCAATTTATACTACCCTTTGCATCCATCATTAGTTTTAAATATTTACGCATAATGTTCAATAAGCCAATTATCAATTTTTTTTCCATCCGTACTCTATATCACAAAATTACATACTATTTAATAATTGAACAATAAGAATATAAAATTTTGAATTAAGTACTATAAAAGTTAATAGAAAAACTTAATCCAAAAATTTTGAACCCCTAGCATTTTTTTCGTGTGTAAATTTAAAATCTTATTTTAAAAAGGTAGGAAAAGAGGCTAAAACTTGTCATAAATTGGTAATGCTAAAAATGAGCAAGTTAACAAACTAAGATAAAATAAAATAATAAATAAAACCAACAAATAATAATAATAATGAAACAAAAGTAGTTAACATCGTGACAAAATGAAGAATTTGAAAAAAAAATGCGTGGGCGAAGACAATACTAAATAGATTAATTAAATTTGATGGGTTATCCAATAATACCGATTTATAAATGGATATTATTGGGTAATCTATTTATACCCATATGCAAAAATTTAAGATACCCATATCCATTTATTCATGAGCATGTATGAATAAATTTAGTTAAATTGGTTTGTTTGTCACTTATAATTTTGCAATAGCTATTGACATTTGTTTTCTATCATGCAACCATCTACTTTTGCTAAGGTAAATAGTGCTTTTGTCTACGGCTCTTCGTTTGAGCTTTCTATCCTATAATAATCAACTTTTGATAACGTACAGACTACCACAAATCAATGTACCTAAGTATTCTAAACTCCACTCTTCCATCATCAAATTCGCTCACACCCACTCTTAACTCTAACACCCAACTAACAACTTTATAAAAAATTGGGCGCCCTCATGCATCTCATGAAGCACAAACAAACTAGTAATTAATAAACGCCCAAAACGGACCCTGATGGAACCGAATATTTGATGATTAACATTAATATTGTTTTTTTTAGTATTTTTTACGACAAAATTATCGAATAAATCTTTTATATACTAACACTGTACATATAAACGAGAATAGATGCATATAATGTATGTAAATTTTAATATTTAAAATTTAAATTCAAATAATATGATATACATTCATTCAACTCCATCAATGTATACAAAATTATTTTATTATTTTAATAACTTGAAATTACATATAAGTTTGACTTATTTTATCTTTTGTACCAAATTTGCTTGATTTTTGTAGAGTCAAGTCTAAATTTAAAAGTAATTATTAGTGTTAAAGTTTGTCAGTGTATAACTTGATTTTTTAAAATATTTAACTTGATAATTCTTAACAATTCTAATATTAAGTAAGTCGATTCATCTTTCGGGTTTCAGCCCTATCATTATTCAATTAAAGCAAAACTCACAATCCTTTTCTCAATAAAATTTTTTTTCCGTCCTTAGTTATGTACACATCATTTAGGATTTCATTTACATGGTCAAATTGCTTAGCAAAGTAGTTGTTAAAATTGCGAAGTATTTGTGTAATAAAAAATTATTAAGTGCAAGAGATGCTAAGATCTAATCAACAAAAAAAAAAAACATTGGGTGCCACATTACCAGAGCTTTAACATTTATACTTCTTTCTTCTAGGATGAAATAAAGTAAGTTACTAGTAGATTAGCAAAGTGCACTGGTCTTAGAAGTTTGTGATCAAAACTATCCTCCCTCTTAAATTGTTCATGTGCTGGAGTTCAGACTCTTCCTGCAATCATAGACACTAGTGATAGTTATTTTAGGAGTAAAAAACCCGAGAAGCCCCTAAATTATCATCATTATCTACTTTTGGCCCCTGATCTATTTTTTGTCTCTAATTAGCCCTTGAACAATTAAAAGTGCATAGTTTAAGGATTTCTGGCCATTTTAGACATAAATCCAGATGGAATCGAAGGGCATTTTTGTCCAACATTAATCAAAGCATTGAGAGCAGGAGTAGAAATTCCAAAAAAAAAAAAAGAAAACCATTCATTTTCCTTAAACTCTTTGTCAAATTTCTCCATAAAATTTCCAAATTCATTGATTTCATACTTGAGAGGGACATGGAAAGTCTGATGAAACTTTGGCCACTAGGGTATGAAATCAGTGAATTTAGAAATTTTGTAGAGAAATTTGATGAAGATCCAAGGAAAATGAAGGATTTTTTCTTTCCAGGGTTTCTACTCCTACTCTCGATACTTTTTATTAAATTCTCAATGATTTTGATTATGATCGGACAAAAATGCCCTTGGATTCTAGTAGAATTTAGGTTTAAAATGACCAAAAGTGTTTAAAGTATACACTTTTAATTGTTCAGGGCCAATCGGAGACAAAAAAATAGATCAGGGTAAAAAATGGACAATGATGATAATTTATGGGCTCCCCAAATTTTTTACTCTTATTTTAGTGATGGAACCTGCTTCAATTTTCTTTCTTGGATGTAATTCCTTTTTTCTCCCTCTCAGATTCTCTGCTTCCTGGTGCACACACATGTTAGCCTCTCTGCTGTAGAATACTACTAAGTAGTAATTGTGGAATTTCATCTTCAATGAAATCGAAAAGTGTTGTTGGACCACCTGCAACCTGGAGTAACAACAATAATAATGTCAATAGCATGTCAATATATATTTTTTTACCATAAAGCAACCAGCAGCATCATATCCTTCAAAATTTTTATTATCAAAAAGCATATTAAAGCGAGCTTACAAGCTCAAAAGTCAGCCAAATCTTCTGAAAGAAACCACAATCTTCTCCTCATAAAGCAACTTAAAAGTTAAAACCTGTATACAAATCAATCAAATTCTTCACCCCCAACATGTGAATATGAATAAGGTTCTAAACTCTTCAGCTTAAGCAAAGAATCATTGCTTCCTCTAATATCCTTTTTCCTTTCACTAAGCAGATTAAACTAACAGTATCTTCTCCTATACAGTCTTCCTTTTTTCCCGTCAGGAATCAACAACTCTCATCTCTGTCAATATCAAGAGTTTCATCCATGGCTTGCCTCCTCATGTTCATTCTGTTAGTACTATTTCAGGCAATAATCCCAGTAGTTCTCAGCCATGGCAATGCTCAGACATGTAGATCTTATTGTGGGAACCTAACAGTTGACTACCCTTTTGCAACTCAATCAGGTTGTGGCCATCCAGGCTTCCGCGACCTCTTATTCTGCATCAATGATGTACTTATGTTTCACATCAGCTCAGGATCATATCGCGTTTTAGACATCGATTATGCTTACCAATCTCTCACATTACACGATCCTCACATGTCGACCTGTGACTCAATCGTGCTAGGAGGCCGAGGCAACGGCTTTGTAGTCGAGCAGTGGCGATCCCCATTCTTAAATCCTACTACAGATAATGTGTTCTTGCTGATAGAATGCTCACCCGAGTCACCATTGTTTGAAGGTTTTCCAGGGAAGCACTTGCCATGTGGAAATGTTTCAGGGATGGGATGTGAGGAGTATTATAGCTGTCCTGCCTGGGACATAATCGGGCCTAAACGGGTTGGCCCGGTGTATGGATCGGGTCCTCCCGAGTGTTGTGCAGTGTCATTTGAGGCTATTAAAGCTGTGAATCTTACAAAACTTGGTTGCCAGGGGTATAGCAGTGCTTATAGTCTAGCACCCCTGAGACTTTCAGGGCCTGATGGATGGTCCTATGGGATCAGAGTGAAGTATTCTATACAAGGGAATGAAGCCTTCTGCAAAGCATGTGAGGCCACAGGTGGGACTTGTGGATTTGACATTGATGGCAATAGTGATTTGTGCATGTGTGGAAGCTGGAATTCCACCTCAAATTGTGATTCAGGTATGATTTTTATGGTCTAAATGGAAACTTTTTTCAACTTGGTTTGATTTCCAACATCAAAGACTAGTAAGGGTTTCTTTGATGTAGCCTGCATCATGATTAGACTTGTTGGTCATTCAATTTCTGGTGGTGTTTTGGTTAAAGGTCTTTGTTCTTAGCAATTGAATTCTTGTGCAATGCAGTCCACTCAACATCCAACAGAATAAGATGGACTTTCATGGATGCATTAGCAGGTATGGTCTAAATTTCCATTAGGTGACTACCATTTTCTGTTTTCATTTCAGATTTAAGACAAAGATCTAATTGGCATGTCATTCATATTTAGAAACTTGTAGGAAGGAAGGAGTTTTTAAGTGGAAATTCCATCTTTGGGTTAAACTGCACCTTTTGTGGTCTCCACAATATATAATTGTCAGAAAGTAGTGCATAACTCCTCATGAGGTCTATTTGTTATACAATACATCGAATTAGAAACTCCTACAAATGGAATTTCCCCTTTCTAAGAAATATGAGAGGTCTGCACCAAATATAAATGTTTTAGATATTGGAGCTAAATAATCTATAAACGGCATTCAATTGGCTTTAGTTTTCGCTTTTTGGGCTTTTTATTTATTTATCTTTTGTCTACTAGGATAGGTGTGGAATTTAAGAAGTGCGAAGGGAAAAGGGAGATTAACCTTAGTTACTAGACTAAGATCAAAGAACTTTAGTTTAATAGAAGTTTTAATCTAGTGATTAAAGTTGAAACTTACCTTAACTGTTTCGAAATTAAACTGGCGTCTTTTCTTTGACATAATTTTGGGACTCAAACATTTGAAGAAACATGTATAAGACACTTTTAGAATTCTATGAGAAAAAGTCCTAGAAATTATGCTGGTTTGTTTGTATTTGCTAGTTATTCTTAAAAATTCTCAATGTCATGCCAAAAAGAAAAATGAAATTTAAACGTGTTTGGATTGTCCATTATTTCACTTTATTTACACCTTATTTACACACACTGATTTACTTGCATCATTAACATCATATCAAAAAAGTGCTACAGTAGTTGTTTACAAAATTATCTCAAATAATTTACAATCCAAACACAAATGAGACTTGAAGGGATTAAGATGCTAATTGTACTTGTATCAATAATTTAAGGGATTCTAATGGAACAAAATGCTGGTTCTACTATTATTCTTGTCACTGGTTATTAAAAGTATTTGACATTCCACCCAATTAACACCCCCAATATTTTTGCAGGCCTCTTGATGACTGAGATTATTTGGAGAAATCTCCCCAGCCTTCAGTAAGAGAGATTAAAAAAAAAAAAAAACTTTTTGGGCAAGAAATGCTGAGTATAATTATGCCTTCTAGTGTAATAGTAACCAAAAAAAAAAAAAAAAGGAAATTTTGTTTTTACTTGTGATATGCCAGCATCCCCATTTTCACAGCTCAGTGTATAATATATTGATCAACAAGGGAGAGGCTTTTGTGAATCAAATGAAAAAGGGGAAAATTTATGCATATCTTGAGATCTTAATTTCCTGTAAAAGAGAAGAGAACTTGCATTTTGACTATTGAGAAATGAAAGCCAAAGAAAGGATAGGCTTTTGCATCTCTAGGAATCAACACCTTAATTTTGTGAAGCTCACTGTCAATATGTCCTTCTACCCGTTAACATCTATTTCTTATTATTTTATATCATTTCAACTTAGTTAATAAATCTTAATTTTTATTGGCAACTGTGAATTACAGTTATAGACCCCAAAAACAAGTAACATTTCACCTTGTGTACCATTCAAAAGGGGCAAAATATTTAGGTGACAATTATTCAACTATCAAAATTATGAAAATTCAATTATTAAATTTGAAAACCTTCAACCAAGAATTAAAAGAGTTTCAATGTATAACATTCCTTCAAATTGGCATGGAATATCATTTCTATCGTTGTTGCAACATATTTTTTCCAGCTGCTATGTTAAAGGGGAAAAAAATAATCTAATGCATAAAAATAAACAATAGAGTAACTAAAGTATATGGGATTAATGTGTTGATTGAACAACATTACGTTGGAAATTTTTTTTTTTTTTTGGATAAGAAGCAAATTTCATTAATAAAATTATCAAAAAATGTCCGGTATGATTTGATTTATATCACAGAAACCCGCACCAATGGCAAAATAAACATGCATTAAAAATAATATATATCTAATTTAACAGATATTTAACAAGTTACAAAACATTGTGCATAATTCAGAATTTGGAAACGAAAGCATGGCAAAAGGAAGGGTTGATGCTAAGATGGGCAGAGGAAATTTTTTCAATTATATGGAATCTCATAAAAGTTGAAAATTTATATAAATATTTCAAAAACACGTAGTAAAAAGGTGGCAACTACAGTTTGATATTTCTGCCAAGGTTATTTGTTTATGAATAGAATTGGAAACTCATCCACAATGCTTGTACTTTTTTGTTCGGAGACCAAAATAAAAAAAAAAATATATGTACCAAAGTTTTTGGCAAATGATAGTGCTATAGACCACAATTTATTTTCACAAAACTTTTCTTAAAATGACAAAATTATTCTTTTCTAGGTCCAAATTATTTTGCATTTGAGTAGGACAAATTTGGCATTTTATACAAAATTAACTGTAGAAATAAAATTTGAGTTGTACATGATATTAATTTTAGATAAATGACACTTATTTTGAGTTGTACATGATATTAATTTTAGATAAATGACACTTATTAAAATTTGAATTTAATAATTTTTATTTATTCATTAATTTTACCCAAAAAAGGGGTCGGAAGAAAAGAATGCAGGAGAGCCAAAGGAGGAGGCAGAGTCTTGCACGTGTTTAATTTAGGTAATCATTACCAACACACGTGTACGCAAAGCCGGCATCTGGTGACTGACTTCACAACCCTGCCGTTTTTCTTTTCTTTTCTTTTTTTTTTTTTTAAGAAATGAATGAACAAAACCATGTGAGTCATCATGCATACGTCTTGCCCCTCGGTCTTCATTTATGATTTAATTGAGTTGGGCAATGCACAATTTGATTTTTTTGATGTACAGCTCCGTATCAATTAGTTGTTTTTTGATGTGTTTTACAAAATTTTACTGTGGTATTATTATAAAAAAATTTTATAACAAATATTTTTAGTGATGTTTTTTGAAATATTTTTAGAATTTAATTTTTAAAAATTGAACCAACTACTAACGCCACCTAGTGCCAATCCCTCTTCTCTCAAATTGAAATGCCACTACCTTAGTCGTGAATGGAAGGTGGCAATCAGTCGCAGCTGCGGGAGGGGAGGGGAGGTCTAGGGTGGCAAGAGGAGGAAGGGAAGGGGAGGAAAGGAGGAGGAAGGTGGAGGAGGAGAGAGTGGGAGAAAGAGACAGCAAAGAGAAAAAGAGAAGAGAGGAGAAAGAGGCGGGAGAATCGAGCGGTGGCGCAGAAGTAGCAAAATATGATTTTTTTTTTTTGGTATGTATGAGTTGTTTTGTTTGGTACATTATTACAGCATTGTATTTCAAAAATTGGTTTTTTGGAGAATCCAAACAAAACTGATGTATTTTAGTAAAATGTGGAATGGATATAATATGAAATATTATACATATTTGCATATGAATTTTTTTTAAAAGAATAACTAAAAGTTCGGGAAAAAGAATATGTGTAAAATTACATTAAATGTTTATATATTTGAAAGGTACAGAACTAAATATATGATTAAAATTACTACTATTATTTTAAATATTATATTACATTTATGTCAATTTTTAACTCTTATCCTTATGTGGATATTAAATTTATTAAAATTTTATCACTTTATTATTTTTATATGTACAAATCTACAGAATTATGTTATATGTCGCTATTATTTTGTACAAACTAAGAATTAATTCATTGTATTTCTCAAATTTTAATTTTTTTAAAAAAAGTTAAAGTAAGATCTTAGTTAATGTGTGTGTGTGTGTGTGTATATATATATATCATGCATTAATTAGGAAACAAACTTTAAGATAGCATGATTAAGTGAACTCGTAAATTTAGTTCCATAATTTTCAAATATATTTACAATATTCACTTAGCATAATTTTTTTAATCATAATTTGAAGAAAAATTCACCTAATTTATGTTCATTTTTACTAGTAAATAAATATAGCAATAAACCCCTACCACACTGTAGAAGTCAAAGCAAACACGATACGCTGCAAAATCTCCCAGACAGAGCCAACGGAAAATTTCCTGTCTACATCTTCTTCTTCACCACCGGCGACCATTACTCCTCTCCCCCTCCATTTAAGAACCCTAATTAAAGACCCTACAAGATTCCTTTATATGCAAGAATTCCATTCTGCCTCCACTTGCCCATGATTTTGATATCATAGCAGCCCCAATTTACTCAGCATCATTAAAATTGGTCCCCTTCTGGTACAGCTCCACAAGCACCACATTCTTCCACTTGTACCTTATTTATTTTGTCAGAAGGGCGGGGAGGGGATAGAATAGATTATCAGTAATGGCCCTGTTTCAGCATTGTCATCTTTCTGTAGCTTCACTTCAGTCTTCCGTGTCAGCCCAGAAAAATGCTCCAATAAAGTATGAGCTCAAAAATTCAATCTTTTTCAATAGCCCTTTTGGGGAAACAATCAAAAGAAGGTCCGCAAATGCTCTCCCGGCTGTCACTGGTTCTAATCAGCTCTCATCATCCATTTCTTCTTTTAGTCAGGTAAAACAAGAGGTTTGAATTTCTGTTTGTTTTGGTGTTTCGTTTGACCTACTTTGAACAACCCTTTTGGCCTATGATTCTGATTCTGGTTCTGAATGGGATTTTGTGATTAGTTGATTGAGACTTTGATAAGTGGGGTGGACTTATCAGAATCTGAAGCTGAGGAATCCCTTGACTTCTTGTTGGATGGTGCTGACGAGGCATTGCTCAGTGCTTTTCTTGTTTTGTTGAGGGCCAAAGGAGAAACTTATGAAGAAGTAAGTGTTCTTGCAATTTTCTTTTTTTTTTTAATTTAATTTAATCCTCTGAACTATGTTGAAATTTGATAGTAATCATGGTTATTGATGAGTAGGTGGTAGGATTAGCAAGGGCAATGATAAAGCATTGTCGGAAAGTAGAAGGATTAGATGATGCCGTAGATATTGTTGGGACAGGTGGTGATGGTGCCAATACAGTGAATATCTCAACTGGTGCTTCTATTCTTGCTGCTGCTTGTGGCGTGAAAGTTGCAAAAGTAGGCCTTTTCTTATATCCTTTTTATTATTTTGGATAGTTGGAAAAAGTGGCATTGATCATTGAGAATTGTATTGCAGCAAGGGAATAGGTCAAGCTCTTCAGCTTGTGGAAGTGCTGATGTCCTTGAAGAATTGGGAATTGCAATTGAATTGGACCCTGAAGTAATGTGCATTTCAACTAATTCGTTAAAGATTAGTTTGTTAATTGCCTCTGTAGTATATAAAGGTGGAATATTTTACTTGCATTGACTTAACTTTAGCATTTAATTGGTGGGAAGCTAGCCTGCAGATTACTCATCAGTTACTTGAGAATGGTTTCCTCAGTTGTGCTAGAAGAGTGTCTTGCTATCTGGTATCCATTGGCATAATTTGTCCAGAATAGGTGAATGTTATATTTTGTTGTTCCTTGGCTGCTATGGCCTCAACTAAACAGGGCTACATGCAAATTGTTCATTCTCAAACTCTCAAGTTTATCACTTCTTGTGCTGAATACATCACTTGTTTTGTTGTGCCGTTTCTCTTGCAAGTCCATTTATTTGCTTACGTGTAATTTTCTGACTGCGTGTATCGAATGAGCAGAATCTGTCATACTCTGTGAACTCTGGTCCTAATATTCTATATTTGGATTGCAACCAAAGTTATACTCTTGGGGAAAAGTTTACATTCAAATAAACTGTTGTGGCATCAAAGATGTTCAAATGACTGCCTGACTTATCATGTTCATCCATTTGTTTTGATGAATATCACTTCCCAAAACACATGAATGCCATTACCGCACGGAGTGTTTTTTTTTGGTGGGTCGTGTCTTTCAAATATTTACTTTGGCTGAATATTGAATTAGGGTGTGAAAAGGTGTGTAAATGAAGCAGGAATTGGTTTCATGATGTCTCCAATCTACCATCCAGCCATGAAGATTGTTAGGCCGATTAGAAAGAAGCTAAAAGTTAAGACTGTTTTTAACATCCTGGGGCCCATGCTGAATCCAGCAAGAGTACCTTATGCTGTCGTGGGTGTATATGCAGAAGATTTGGTATGTACTTCACTCTGCAGCCATTGTGGTTTAGGATCTCACTTTTTGTATTTTTTTTTTAAAACTGAACTTTAGCAGCTTCCTACTTCAGGAGGAATGCTTAAATCACCAACTCCAATGTCCAACCTTGTCTTTGCACGCTTGCATGAAACCTATCATAGCTTGTCCAGCTTTTTGATTAATTATTTATCATTTGGTGGTCTTTCAGGTCCACAAAATGGCAAACGCACTTCAGAGATTTGGCATGAAAAGAGCACTGGTTGTTCACTCTGAGGGCCTGGATGAGATGAGTCCCTTAGGTAAAACTCCAACTTTATCTTGTCAATGTCTCTCTTCTGGCTATTATTACGGTTTAATCTATTTTAGGTACATTTGACAAAAACCATGCCCCCCACTAAATTATGAACAGGGCCTGGGGTAGTTCTTATGTCAAAGCAGATAAGATTGAAAAGTCTCGTTTGATCCTTGTAAGTACTTTCCATTTTATCTCGATCCTGCAGATTCAATCTCCTTTTTGTTCATATTATTATACAGCAATAGGTGCAAAGTTATCACTTCTGATTCCTCATTTCCAATGTTCTTATCACATCGTCTTTTAGCATAATATTGTTGTAAATTTAGTGACATATAGCTCACGCATTATTTTGATAGTGGACTTTGGGATTCCGCGTTGCACTTTGGATGCCTTGCGAGGTGGAGAACCAGAGTACAATGCAGAAGTGCTGAGACGTGTGCTATCTGGTGAGCAAGGGGCCATTGCTGATGCATTTGTAAGTACTTTATAAGGATTAATCACTCTATGTTCTAATTCGGAGCGGTCTTAATAAATCTGTCAATCAAATTTTGCACCAATGAAATAACACTAGGACATATTTTTCACCTTAGGTTTACCATGTTTCACTTGCCATGATTTTGTAATCCATCTTGCTTGTGAAACTGTTAGGTGCTAAATGCAGCAGCAGCCATCTTGGTTAGCGGACACGTTAAAGATCTGTCTGAAGGAGTGACCTTGGCTCGGCAAACATTGTTATCTGGGAAAGCATTAAAAACCCTTCATTCATGGAAAGAAGTCTCAAATGTAAGTGCAGCGCACTCAATTATATGATTTCTTCAGCTTCCAAATTGACAATACCTCACCATAGTTTTTCCTGCATTTCAGAAGGCGAAAGAAGAAGCACAGAGTACTCTGACATCTGCATAATTTCATAGCAAGTGTTAGTAATGAAAACACACAACAGAGTTAATTCATAGCTCACAGTCAAGTGTATTTAGAGCTGTTCAAGCACTGCAAGTTTCATCACCATCTTGCACTTTATTTTGCACCATTCCATCCATGAGGATGCAGATCACAAAGAATGTATATGAAAGATCAGGACAAGAAATAAAAACAATTTTTGTTTTGTAGGATCCATCAAAGAACTTCCAACTTCAGTAGAGAGTATTGAGTTGTTGTATTTCGTGTAGTGATTTGAAGGCAAACGAATGTGAGTGAACCCTTCTAGAGATAAACACCAATAATTCCTGTAATCTGTTGTTGTACACTTGGTTTGATATAATAATTACGAACTCTTGCGTTTGTCATGCTTCAGTTTTCTGTGTAAAAAGATAGGAGAACTAGCAAAATGATGTTTTTATCCGACTGAATCATCATTGTAGTTTCGAATGCAAATATATGAAGAGATTCATAAAATTCTGTACATGGTCTAATAGGGTGTGTCAGAAGGTAACATAGAAGACACTTTCCAATCTTTTTCCAGATGACAAGATAATTAAGTATTTTTAGAGGTTATTGGGTGCACAGTAGACTTGCATCTCAGAGCACCAAACAAGAGTATTGCTGAACACATGATTACTAGAATTTAGTATATATCTTCCATCATTTACAGACTCAAGTCCGTTGGCTTTACATGTTATTTGCTCCTGGCAGGCAGAGTGACAGATAAATTGAAAGGAGACTAGGAGTTTGGGTCATTTTGAGAGCAAAATTTTATCCCTTGAGACCAGGTTAATCTGTGGCTTGAAACTAAAGGTGCAGTAGGTTTCAAGACAAATGAAACTTTTTTTCCTTTTAGGCAAGTCAAATGAAACTTGGAATGCAGACCAATCAAGATGCAACATCCTTTCTTGAAAAAAGATTCCCTGGACTCCTTGATTGAGGTAAACAAATAGCATAAGTTGTGGGAGTTACCTGCAGTAAGAGAGAAGTCCTCGTGGCTTCCAGCAGACAAAAATAGCAAATAAAGGAAAGTAGACTGATACGAGGAAAGGAGAAAACTAGAGGAGCAAACCGCTTTGGAGAATAGACTGATACTGTGAAGAAAGGAGAGAACTAGGGAAGCAAGGAGACTGTACTGTAGAAGGAAAACAAGGTAACAAATGGCATCAGATGCTCTTTTGGAACTGATATAATATAACTATATATAAGCAACAAAGGCAAAAGGGCATTGCTGCAATGCTTATGGCTTTGTTCACCAGATATTGGTGGCGCAACCATTCTGCAATAAATGCCTATTCTGGAAAGCTGTAGGGCTCAAAACTACCCATTTGTCCTCTTAAATGCATGTTGCATCAATGAACGCAGGCAAGAAGTTCTTGTATAATGGACCATTCTTCTTTTGGGAAAAGTTTTGTATAATGGACCTTTACAAACAATTGTGGGAATTTATCATATCATATGCAATTGCAAGGAATTAGAAACAAAATATTCTTTACACTAGTTAATCCAGATGCTTAATGCATAAGCACTTGTTAGATGATATGACTAAATGCAGAAATGCACATTGGCTTGAAAATCTAAACCCACTCATGCAAAAAAAAAAAGGTTACATAATCCATAATGTAATATTCTAATACATTAAGTCCCAATTGTATATTAGTCCCAATTGTATAAACATCAGTGCTAGTCTTGATTGTTAAAATCGCGATCCGGATCGTAGGATCATACAATTGCGATACGATTCTACAATTTGGAAAGTCAAAATCGATCCGGATCGCACTCAGAATCGCAAATTCCTTGAATTTACATAGGATCGATGTAGGATCGGTAAGATCATGTAGAATCGTACGATACTATTTCGATCCCACAAATTTTTGCTAATTTGTGAAATACAAGGCTCATTTGCAAGTAAATGAAAACATTTGGGCTAGACTTGTAATTTATCAAAGAATTGCAGGCCTTAGTTGCAATGTTTTAACAAATTTTGCCTCAAAGTAAAAAACTTTGGGTCTTCTTCTTCTTCTCCGCAAGCAGGCCTTTGTCGTTTCTCTTCTCCTCTCCGCTGCCCAAATCAAATCCCTAATTTAAACCATCAAACCACCTCAAGCTTCGGCTACAGCTCTTACCAAGAACCCACAAGGCAAATCGCTGCGGCTTCTACCAAGAACCCTCAAGCTACAGCCGACAGCTTCAAGGCTTCAAGCTTTAAAGCTTCAAGCTCCAGCAGCCATTGCTTCGGGAAGAATATCAAGCTACGAAATCCTCTGTTGCCGCCGGATTTTGGCCGTTTCAAGCTTCAAAGCTTGAAACTCCAGCACCCGTTCTTCTCCAATTTTCGTGCTACCAGCCTGCCACCACACTTAAGCTCAAGCACCAGCACTTCAATTAAAGTCACATGTGAGTCTGGTTATTTTCTTGCTTGAAAATTGATACGTGGGAGATGGTGATTGATAAAGTTGTGATTTGTATTTGGTTTTCTTGGTATTTGAACATATATTGCCTTTGATTGAATTGAGTTGAAGGGAATTATTAACGGGTCCATTAGGATTTGTGAAAATTTGGTTTTCTTGCTTGAAAATTATTGACGGTTCTGAAGCACCAGCACTTTGTCTTAGGATTTGTGCTCTCAGAATCATTAACGGGTCCATTAGGTACACTCTTTTTTGCCTTCTCCATAGGAAGCTCTGATAATCGAGACTCTGCTACCATATAAATCTTCCCATTGAACTTGTTGAAGAAATCAGAATTAGGAGTATTTTTATTTTATAGTAATGAATTAATGATTAGAGACTAAATCAGAATTCAGAAGACATTACTAGATAAAGAAGCGTACTTACCAAAAAACTTAAACACAAGGGATCGGGTAATTGCAATTCTCCTTATAAGAGAATAGAACAACCTACAATCTCTCTTATCATAACTTTTTGTTGAATGTAATGAATGATCCTTAACTTAACTAGCTAAATGCAAATATTTTTGTCTCAGACTTGAAGAAAATTTGGATGTTTCTTTGCTAAGCCGTTTGCTAATGATGTGACCTTGCACACACAAATCCAACCTTTTGTTTAGATGTCAAGAGAAAAAGTCTCTTTTACTGGAAAACTAACCTGGAAAAATATTTAAAATATCAGCCCATATGATATTAGCAAAAATTTCAGCAAATAAATGATACAAATCAGAGGTAAACTAACCTGGAATGAACAGAAATTTCACTGCAAAACCTTTTCTATTTTCGGACCAAAGCTGAAAATTAGAAGAAAAAAAAAATTACTGATCAGTATATATGTCTGTGGTGCAAAAAAATAAAGAAAAAAAGAATGGCAAGAAATGTATTTACCAGGATGCAAAGGAACAAAAGGCACCAAACCACTTGTGAGGATTCTCCACTTTCCAAACAAAGCTGAAAATACCAAAAAAAAACACTAATTGTGTAGCATTCGTGTCTGCTATGCGAAGAGGAAAAAGGCAAAGATGAGTTATTTTGATAGACTATATGTAAAATTCATCTGAGAATTTGTGGCATATTCAACCTTAAAATAGACTTGACAGGCTAGTTAATGGCATACGACAATGCCAATAATAAAAGTCTGTAACTTCAGTCACATCCAAATGAATGACAGAATATTCCACACCAAATAATGCAATTGAACACCGACACTTTTCTCATGTTGCATTATGCTGGGTAATTTGCAAAAGGTGAAGTATGGATGTATGATTTTAGGTGATCCATTTCTTACACAAAACATGATTCATTCAATAGTCAAAATTTGACTCAGCACAAGAAAAGCTACCCAAGAGTCCACAAAATTAGGTTAAACAACGTCAACAGCTCTCAACACACAAGACTTTTTCAATCAGGAAATTAACATTGGAACCACAACCATAACACATTTTAAGTTAAGATGGCAGCCAAAGCAAAGAGTACTACGGCAGAAAATTTAATTGCAATACGGTCTTAAATTCCACATTACAAGAAGAAATAGAACAAACGTTTTTCTTTTTTGAGAAATAGAACAAATTTGAATTAAAATATTAGATTTAATTTTTAAAAAGTATTCAAAATAGATCGCAAATTCAGCTCCCGGATCGCCAATAAAAGAAAACCAAAACCTCAGTATCACAGGGTAAGAACAAAAAATAAAGCAGGATTTAAGAAGAAGCAGTAGCATATGAATATGTAAAGCTATTCAACTAAGTATCTACTAATTAATCCCTAATCAAGATTGAAATACACACAGAGTAGGAAAATTACCATAGATTTCAGCTAAAGTGAGAAATCAGTGTGCAGAAAAAACCCAATTGGAAGAAAACGGTAGGGTTCCAGTGGCGGTTCAGGCAGGGCGGAGTTGATGATTGATGGCTGATAGACATGAAGAAGCCTTGAAGATTACGAATTAGGGCAAAGAATTTGGGGGAAAGGTCTGGAAAATTAAGGGCATGTTTGGTATTAGCGTTTTTCTGTTTTTTCCAAAGCAATTTTTATGTACCTCGCTCTGCTAGTCTCTGCTTACACTAGGACAAAATATGCACCTACGTGTTCTCACTTATCACTCTAAGTCGTCCAACTATAAATGTAGAAGAATCAATAAACTAAATGTGTCAGGTATATCTTGTTATAATCATATTTATCACTCTATGTTTCATATAACAATTTATTTGTTTTTATCTGGTAGGTGATCCTCCTATATGCGATAGCTGCTCTAATTTCTTGTATGAAACAGTTGATAATCTTGCAGGTTTAACTCCTTAATACTATTTTTACAAATCTTGCATGCTTTTCTTGTTGGGCTCCATTGATGGTAGTTTCGATCGGTAAATGCATTAAAAAATGAAGCCCTTTTGGTGTACAGTCTTTTTGTTGTTATTGCTGTGTAAGAAAATTAAAATAACATTATTATTTTTCTACGAAAACTCCCCGAAAATGCAATCCATATAGCTTCTAAATGTTTTCCATTTCGCTAAAGTATTTTGTCGTGGTCCTCATTAAGCATGGTGTGCCCATTAAACATATCACAAGCAACTCCTGGACAATGCGATCAGCTAAGTCAATTACTACTGCTTCAAAATATTGTTGTACAGTTTCCAAGTGGATGGACAGTTCAGATTCTTACGTGTCCCATTTTTTATTTTGTAAGTAAGAAACAAGCTTTTATCTAAGTTGTTCATGCTATGACTAAAATCAAAGGTTGGTCAAACTCTACAAATCCACAAAAAGCATCACAATTACATTTTTTAAATCAACTTTTTATCTTTCTAAGGACTTTTTTGTCTCATATACATCACATCATAAAAAGTGCTATGGTACTTAATACAAATAATATTTCAGATAACCTCCTATCCAAATAAAGTGTTACATACATCCCAATAACCTTTTACAATTCCCAATGATAATTGTTGTCAACCAACTAAATGAATTGTTCTTGCTAAAAGTTAAAAATGTAAAACAACCACCATATTAACGAAGTTTCAAAGAAAATTTTGATAAAAAACCCTACTATTTCAAAATCAAGAAGGGAGGTTTGTGATTTTTATCAAAACTATAAGGGGGTTAGTGTAATTTACCCTTTTTCTTATTTCTGAGATTTTGTAGAGTGATAAGTGAGAACACCTAGGCTCATATTTTGTTCTTGTGTAAGCAGAAACTAACAGAGTGAGGTACATAGAAATTACTTTGGAAAAAACATAAAAATGCTAATACCAAACATGCCCTTAATTTTCCAGACCTTTCCCCCAAATTCTTTGCCCTGATCGTAATCTTCAAGGCTTCTTCATCTCTATCGGCCATCAATCATCAACTCCGCCCTGCCTGAACCGCCACTGGAACCCTACCGTTTTCTTCCAATTGGGTTGTTTCTGCACACTGATTTCTCACTTCAGCTGAAATCTATGGTAATTTTCCTTCTCTGTGTGTATTACAATCTTGATTAGGGATTAATTAGTAGATACTTAGTTGAATAGCTTTACATATTCTTATGCTACTGCTTCTTCTTAAATCCTGCTTTATTTTTTGTTCTTACCTTGTAATACTGAGGTTTTGGTTTTCTTTTATTGGCGATTCGGGAGCTGAATTTGCGATCTATTTTGAATTCTTTTTTAAAATTAAATCTAATATTTTAATTCAAATTTGTTCTATTTCTCAAAAAAGAAAAACGTTTGTTCTATTTCTTTTGTAATGTGGAATTTAAGGCCGTATTGCA